CCCCCCCCCCCCCCCCCCGGCTTGGCTGCAGGGGAACCCCGGGTGCCCCACCAGACCCAGAAGGCACCAGTTGCCAAGCTAGGGGTGGGGGGGTTCCCCCACAGGGTCTGCCGCCAAGCACGTGGGGGACCCTCCCATGCTCCTGTAGGATGCTCCATCTGCCCCACCATCTCTGCGTTCACAAGCCACGCCTTGCACCTCAAGGTACCTAGAAAAAAACATTTAAAACTGTGTCTATAGCAGATCATCGAATCTCTTCAAATGGTTTTAGAGGCTTCAGATTTGTTTCGGAAAGATTAATGGGTCTCCTGGTTCAATTTGGAGTTGGAGAATCAACTGCTGAATTGGGCCGAATCTCCTCTGAATCGAATCAGCAACTGAACAGGCAGCAGTCCTCACCACACTGGACACAAGCTGCCTCTAGCTGGTAAGTCTGTTGTGGTGGGCAAAGAGGGGAGGGAAGGGGCATGGGGGGGTGGGCAGATCAATGCCCCCACAGTGTGGGAGGGATTGGGGCTGGGACAAAGCTGTCCAACTGGGGCAGGGGGGCACGGGACACAGGAAGGAGGGCTCCCACCATGTGCTGCTGGTCCAGGACAGCATAGGAGTGGGCATATGCCCCCAGATCTGTGCGGGGCGGGTGGGACCAGGTTGCACACTGAACGGGCAGCAGAAGGCACTGGAAGCAGGGGCTATGCCTTTCCACTGCTTGCCCAGCCTCCCTGCACTTCCCAGACAAGCCGCAGCTTTGCCCCAGCTGGGTGAGCAGTGGCAGGACATGAGGGCGGGCACATGCACCCAGATCGGAGCGGGGCTGGCTGGGCCAGGCTGGGTGGTAGAAGGCGCTGGGAGCAGGGGCTATGCCCTCCCGCCACTCATTCAGCCTCCCTGTGCCTCCCGAATAAGCTGCAGCTTTGCCCTGGCCGGCCAACCAGCGGCAGGGCATGGGGTTGGGTGCATGCACCCGGATTGGAGCAGGACCGGCGGCAAGGGCTATGGTGAATTTTAGGGTGGCTGCAGCCCATCCCTGCCTCCATAACCCCCGCTCCACTGCGCTCTGTGGGGCGGGTGGAACCAGGGCTGGGCTCCGGGCTGCGGCTGGGGCTAGCCATCCGGAGTGCAGCCCTGGCTCCACCCGCCCCATGGAGCACAGCACGGCAGTGGGTAGCTGGGGCTAGCCTCCTGGAGCACAACCTGGCCCAGCCCACCCTGCACAGATCCGGGGGCACACGCCCGCTCCCACACCCTCCCAGACCGGCAGCGTGCAGTGGCGGAAGCCCCCTTCCCAGAGTCCTGTCCCCTCCCCAGCTTGGCAGCTTGTCCCAGCCCCAATTCCTCCCTCCCCCATGCCCCCTTCCTCCTACTTCTGTCCAGCACAGACTTACCAGCTGAAGGCAGCTGTGTCCAGCGTGGTGAGGACTGCTGCCTGTTTAGTTTATGGCCAAATCTCCAAATCGGCACCGAAACTTTTCTGAATTGATTCGGAGCTTTTAACTGGTCTCCCGATTCTATTCAGATTTGGAGATTCAGCCGCCAAATCAGGCCAAATTGAAAACCAGCTACTGAAGCTTCACATAGCCCTAGTGCTCAACCCCCTTGCCCACAGAACCATGTGATCTGGAAATATGACGAATGGGAGCAGCAACAAAGCTCCATGGCTCCCCCACCACGAAAATTTCCAAGCCTCATGGGTCAAGTGACATGGTCCTGCGTAAGGGGTCAAGGCCCAGACTAGCAGACCCAGGTTGACAGAACCAATACAGCATGGGGCTGTGGCCACAGTGGTTGTGGTCACATGGTCATTAGACCCACAGATGGGATCTGGCCTATGGATCCATCTCACACCACACATCCAACCCAGCTCACAGTGTCAAAGGTTGGACACTACAGCTCTAGATCAATGGGGGCCAACCTTTTTGATAGGTTGGTCACAAGTTAGCCCTGCACCAAACCCAAGTATCACTCCAATCTTTTTCTCCAGCCTGATCTGAGGCTCTGCTTTCTGCTCCCTAC